ATGCTACTACAACTACTACAAGTATTTAATTAGAAAACTATCAGTATTCATATAAGTTCACTTTTAGTATAGAAGCTAAAAATTTACTACTGTTATACTTAAAAGTATACTTTTATATATTAGAAAGTGGGCCAATTTAGTCCCAAGGAGTATTGAAATAGTACACTTACAAACTACTAGTACACTGATATTTGTATACTTGCTACATAAAGTATACTTAAAAATATACTTGAACTTTACTTAAGTATACTTAATAAAATAAACTTGAAGTATACTACTTTTTGGTAAGGGTAGTAGGTCATCTATACATACTGCACTGTGATTATATATAATATAATATATAATGTAATATACTATTCCATACTAAGACTAATAGATAAACTGAATGAAATATTGCACTAATAATAATTATTAGGGCCAGAGCACCGATGGTGTGAGGACCCTATTGGAATTGTTCCATTTCTTCTTCTTCTTCTCCAAAGTAAATCGCATTTTTGAGGGCCTAAACATGCTCCAAAACTCATGAAACTTTGCACACGCATCAGAACTGGCAAAAAAAAATTATATCTAATATGGGTTTCAGAAGTGGGTGTGGCAAAATGGCTCGATAGCGCCACCTATAAAATTTCAACGAAGTGCCCCTCGAGCTACTTACATGTACGAAACTCGGTAGACACATGTAACACACCAATACCTACATAAAAGTCTACTGGCTTAAAATCTGAAACCCAACAGGAAGTCCGTTATTTTTAATTTTCTGTACGATTTTTGTGCAGTTTTTGCCATTTTTCGGGCCTTGTACTTTAACGATCTCCTCCTACAGTTTAAATCGGATCATCTTCAAATATGCTGAGTGTAATCATAAGGCCTTTGTGATGCTAAATTGCGAAGATCTTGAGTTTTCGTCAAGGTGCGTGTCCCTGGCGGCCTGACAAATTCGATGTTTCGCCATGAAGCAGGAAGTTGCTGTAACTCAGGCATGCAGTGTCCAATCTGCCCGAAACTTAACATGTTTGATGAGAGTCCTGGCCTGAACACATCGACATGCTAAGATTCAGTTATAGTCATAGCGCCACGCCACCTACTGTCAACAGGAAGTGACGTGTTTAACTCTGTGATGCACTGTTAGCAATACAGTAAAATATGCCATTGTGTGCTAAACATGCCTCAAACATGCTAGCAACACTTATTAAGTGCTAAAGCATGCTATTAATGCCATTAAACACGAAGTTGTTGTAACTCATGCATACAATGTCCAATCTGCCTCAAACTTCACATGTTTGATTAGAGTCCTGGCCTGAAGACATCTACATG